GAACCGGCCTCATATATCTACTATAATTTTTGTCAGTGGCGTCTCCTAAGGGAGCTACGCTCTCCTAAAGGGGTAACCTCGGAAACAGTTTTTAATGCGTAACATCCAAACGGCTCGACATTAAGTCACGAAATTTTGGTGAGATCAAACGGCTCGACATTAAGTCACGAAATTTTGGTGAGATATTAACCTTGACGTGCTTAATAGGTCTCATAAAATACATTTCAAAATTTGCTACAGGGGCGTGAGAAAATGCAGGACCCAGGGATAAATTTAATCATATTTTTTTTGTAGTCTTTTTCTAGTTCCTGACTCGAAAATATTGAAATTTGAAGTATTTAACATAAAAAAGGTCCTCTTGTTAAATTTCACTAGAATGTGCCGTTTTCCAGTAAAATCGATTTCAATCATTCCCAACGTGCTCCAAATTCAACTTTCATTACATAGCNGGACAAACCTAACCTAACGTAATCCATCTGGCAAAAAAACCGGACAAACCTATCGTAAAAGTCACACATCCGGCAAAAAAACCGGACGAACCTACCCTAACGTAATCCATCCGACAAAAAACCGGACAAACCTAACGTATAAGTCATACATCCGGCAAATCGATGTGAATACGTTCAAATACTTCGTCAGGCCATTTCCATGGATTTATTTCAGTTTTAGGGGGACTTATCTTATGTAATGAGCAATTTGCACAACTCTGCTAAATTCTCAATATCCTTATTTATTCCCGGCCCAAAAAATTAATTTCTAGCCATATTTTTCATTTTAATTAATGTAGACATAAAATTATACAATAAATTCGTCTCCATTCATGGAAATGCAGTAATTGCTAACATGTCTTCCTCAAAATTCTACAAATTTGCGAAGTCGTTTTTGTTAAATTATTGTTTTTATAGCATTGATAAATTTATGTCTTTTATTTATTAGGGCTATCAGTTGTATTTTAATCTGTTGTATTTCTGTCGGTATTTTAAATGTATATTAATGTACAAGTTTATTTGTGACTTCAAATGTACTGTTGTATATAAAGTGGTCAATAAACAAAACTTACTTACTTACTTACTTACTT